CCTATTCGATGATTGAATTTGACCGATATCTACTTATTTTCAAATCTTCAATTACTCATATTTAAATTTAAACAAACAAACAAAAGGTTGCCTCGGGAGGGGGGGTGTATATATATTTTCATTGTATATATAAACTTCTTCAAAATCAGTATTAACTCGTTCACTACTGACACAGTAAAGGGAGGACAATCTTTTGTCTCATAAACAACTGTTCCAAATCAAATTCAATCTTTCCGATAGGAGTTTTAGTTAGGCACTAAGAAATACCGTAACTTTTGAATATGTATATGTAATGGATTGTCAGTCAGTGGTTATATTCATTACAGTGACTAACTGATTTCTTTTCCTTGTTTTTTTTTTGAATATGAATCAACTTGTTTAGGTTGACTTTTGATGTGTTACTTTACGAGTCAATCAAAATGTGTGAAACCAGACATTTGCACGGGACAAATTGTTATAAAAAACATCAAAACATCTAAAAACTATATATTATATACTTTGGCAGGTAAAGACATTGAATTCTGCCAAAAACCGATATACATATATTTGGGCTTGCCCACCGTCAGGTACACATTTTGATCGAAACTCATAAATTGTAAATTGGGTAATACTTTGCTTTGAAAAGATAATGACAATTTCTGTGGTGGCAGAATGAGAAAATTATTGAATGGTGGCACGCATCTTTTTCAAAATCAAACACCGACGATGGTACGTGTTTTCAAAAAAAATGGGTGCCGTCTAAATACCGGATAAACTGTTATCTCGAATTTTCTCTTGTTTTTTGGGGATGAAGCAACAACTGGGCACTTACGTCGACAAAATTCCAGGTAGATTCATTTAAAAACGTGCAACATATCAATAATGACACGTTTAGTTACTGATCGTTTAAAACTGCATCTGGACATTGTCACTATTCCTATGTTCGATGCACAGTTACTGGATATTGTTGACCAATTCTAGAAGACTTGGATGTTAAAAAATGGAAAAGTAAGAAAGTGAAATCCAGTCCGAATTGTTTGGCAAGTAGAACCAAACGAAAAGAATAAACAGTATCAATGGTGTAATAATTTGAATCCTCTCTTGACTTTAAAGATTTAGGAACATGGTGGCATGAACAGTTTAAGAAAGATTTTTTAACAAGACAGTCATTATATGTAGCAGAAATCATTATATGATCTTATCAAAATGTTTACTAAACTATTAAATAATGCAGCAAAATGTTTATAATATTATTGATGACACGCATTCGGGTGGCAATTCCAGAATTAACTTGAAGATCGAAGAAACATTTAGCGTCCAAAAAACTGTATAGGCTGCTACATTGATTAAGAACAAACTTCAGATCGCAATGAATAAGAATAATTTAAATACAGGTGTTTAATAAAAACAAAAAGAGCCAATTATATAATTATAAAAAAGGAGTTCTCCAAGGATGCATTTTGTTTGCCCTACTATTTAATATACATGGGAAATTCATCATTAGAATATCCGCTCATGATCATCCTGGAAGATATTTTTGTTATTATTTTAATATATCTACCTTGAACAATGTCGTTTGAGGGTACCCAGTTCGAATTTTACATTTATTACTGTCACTTTTGGAGGAAAAGTGGGAAATTGAAAAAAATTTCTGCTTCGAGTAATAAAAAATCATATCAAAAGCCAAAATTAAGTGGTAAGTAATATCTAAGACGAAGGGAAATTTTTCGATGATACAGAAGGACCAAATGTTAATTTGTATTTTTTTTTCTTTTTGGATTTTTGGATTACTTGAAGCACGCAGTTTTGACTACCGTTAGATTTTTTTCTTTCAAATAGACAGATAGATGTTAAAAATGTATGTGAAAAATGGATTGGATGAATGTGTTTCTTTCTACAGGGGTGGCTACGGATATCCTCAACCAGTACAAACATTTTTAAATTAATATACATTTTAAATAGATATACATATAGGATGTGACAAAAGAAGATCCTAAATTGAGAAATTAACAATTTAAAAACCATTTATCAAACTTTTGTAAATGTTTTTAGATTTTTTTCAGTCGAGGACAACTTTTGACATATGGTATTGGAAAATTAATTATTTCCTTTCATTTAAACGCAATGGGATTGGAAATAGCTAATTTCAAAATCCTAAAATCTATACACTATTAAGACAACATAGTCCCAAGCTTAAATAAACAATAATATTCCTTTAAAAAAGTTGTTGAATTATTTTTTTGTATCTATTATTCAGTTTTAAGGAATTACGTGCATAGTGTATTTACTTTAAGTTCACCTGTATGAGCGTTTATTTTAGCTGGGAATATGTTGTGAAAATATATTATAAATAGAGCATTTTAAGTTACTAATGTTTGGCTAGGGTAAAAAAATATTTGTAGCCGATAAGTTGTGTTTTATGTTCACTTTGTACTTGAAGTCGTTTTCAGTTTGTACGATACGTTGATGTTTTTATCCCTAATACTTAATATGTGACGGCTTCTAAGTGTGTGATATCTTTCCCGTATGCAAGTTACTATTTGGGGAGCGTTTGTTCACTTGTTCACTATTCTTCCTCTTAACCGAAAATAAATATATGTACCCTTTTTAAATCTTAACATTTTTTTTTCATCATAAATAAAGCAAGCTCTCTTGGTAACATCTCTTGCACTTTGGCACACTTTTTAATAAAATCTGTACAAACGATTTTAATTTTTTTTTCTCTTCATTTTTTTATACACAAAAGTAATAAATATATTTATATTCTCAATAAAATAATTTATATCCATTTTTTCACAATTTTTTTAATTTCAATTTAAAATAGCGACCCCGCTACATTTTAAATTTTTTAAAAATCTAACAAAAAAAAATATCCTCCCCAACAAACAATATTTATCAAAAATAGTTTTTTTACATTTCCTGAATACTCGATTGGTTACTTCCTTTTGTCTATGTTGCTAAACCCACAATTTCAACTAATGCCCACATTAAAAAATATATTACAGAGGATAATGCACAGACAACTTACTTGAAATTTATTGACGCATACGATTTTTGTGACTAATGATTGAAACATATATTTTATTCGACACAGGAATGGAAAAAATTCTAGAAACAATATTATGATTGAGCTTTGATGGTGACAGTCTTTCGGAACATGAATATTATTGTTTTAAATCTGAAAGTGTTTTTTTCGGATCCACTACGCGATTATAAAAAAATAATCTACGCGCATCATTCAATGAATGAAAAGGTTTGTTTACAAAACTTGATTTCCATGTAGCCAATGGGCTACAAAATGTTTTTTTTTTTTTAATTATAATGGAAATTCTTACGATATTTACAATAAGAAACTAGACCTTGTAAGATACCTACTGCCAAAATATCCTAGAAATAGTTAATTATATCTACATAACTTCCCATAGTCATATTTGTATTCTAGAATACTAAATAACCAACAATTTCGTAAGGATAATGTATATATAGCAACAGAAATAACCAAATCGAGTATTAGCAGGCAAAAGGCGTTATATCCTAACACCATTCTATACTTCCCGAGTTTGTACTATCAGGGACAAGTGACACTACTCGCCTTGACACAAGGCATTCCGAGAATCGATACATCTCACTCTCTTCTATCTTTCTCTCTTTCTCGCAACACTCGTCCTACACGTTTTGGTATAATACATTTTTTTCTTCCACAACAACCACGTCTTTGTTTCTTAACGCGAAGATCAACAACCGAAGACGGTCCCATAACACCAACAAATAATATATTATACAAGGAACCGAGCTACCGGCTGATCGTTCCGCGCAAAAACAACATTATTTCAACAAATCGCCTAACAATTATAATATAATAGTTAAAAAAATGTCTTTGCTTACCAACACATTCACACACGGTACATTGTTCATTTTCATTTTGTTTATCTTTCCGCTAGATGTCACCTTATGTTGCTACAGGCCAAGGAGATCGAAATCATATAGACCTAGAGGAATTTTATTAAGTGCATTACGTTTTTCGAACATAATGAAGAAAAAAATACTTTGAAACAGAAAATTACGAGCCCCACAATATAAAATATAATTAAATAATTATTCCTCTAGAAAAAATTCTTCAAATGAAAGAGCGAAATATCTGCAAATATGTATGAATATCCGAATTCCTTAGCCTTTGTCGCAAAAATACTTCTAACTTACAAAAATTATTTAAAGCTCTTCGGTTTCCACATTCACACTCAAAAATACAGTAAAATAATAATAGTAACAGCCACATTTTTTAACTCCGAAGGAACTGTACGCCTTTTCGTATATTTTTTTGTTTATTTTTTATGTAGTGCAGATTCTTTCAGATTTTTGTTTGAATTGTGACTGGCTGATGGTCGAACATCGGGATTTGAGGTTTTAGAACGCGACTCTTCTGTCTTAGGTCGCATTCCTTGCGATTTTTCTTTGGTAAAAATCCACAATTAATATTAACGGGAACCGGAACGGACATAAACATTCTTAAAAACGGATTCTTACAACTTGTGGATACATTGTAACCAAAACAAAAAGGTAATTCTCTTGAAGTTAATAAACATGATACTAGTAGCAATTTAACAAATGTATGTGACTGGATTGAAATAGCAGAAGGTTGACTTGAGAGTATTTTATGAATGTTGATGTTCATTTTCGTTCCAATAATGTATACGATATATATACTGTGTGTTCGGTCATTGTGTGTAAATAACGGAAATTTCAGTGGCTATAAAATCTAATATATTTTGATTATTTGAGGTAGATTAAAGTTCAATAGGCACGTAGTTCGACGCATACCTTATTCCTGGAGAGTTCTCAAAACTTTCCACTATCAATACCTATAGATATATATAATATGGTCAACTAAAGTATAAACTATTCAAACTAACTATTCAAGAAAAATAAAAACTCGAGAAAACAAAAAATAATTGAGATGAAAAGAAGTTATTGGGAAAAACTCAACGCTTTGCGCAACTAGGGGGCTTCACCGACGCCTCGGTTTATTTGTCGTAACCAAGTGGAGCAGCCACGTCGACGCTCGAACGCTGCTTTAAAATAATCTTCATCATGGTACAAGTGGAAGGCATCGAGAGAGGTTTCTTATAAAAAATAGGGTATGCAGAAACAAACCCATGCGCACAGGCAGTGTGTATGAATGTTGCTCTAGTTAGTACTACTGTTGTGGCTCGGATGAGGTAGCTTCCGATTGACTGGTATCTTTCTGCTTTGATTGGCGCTGTCTGCCCTGTGGAGGAGCGACTGATTGGAGGACCATCGCTCGGATACGTCTTTGTGCAGACTGAAACAAAAAAAAAATATGGTTAATCTTCACATCAGAAAAGTCTATAAAAATTGTTTTTAAATACTATGTAAAAGATTTTTACTATTTAAAAATTACATGTACTACATTTAAACCTCTTTTCAATGGACAGATTCATGGAAATTTTTTTCATATTCCTGTCTAAGATATTTCCCTAAATTTTATTAAAAGCAAATTTTTAAGTTGGAATAAAACAAAATACATGTTCGTTTCAAAATAAGAACAATGACGAATAAGGCAAAATATCTATAAATAATCATAACATCCAAGGTGGTTAAGAAATTTAAATATCTAGGAAAGACAATCACCAATGATAACAAAGTAGAATGAGAAGTTGACACACGAATACTGGCGGGAAACAGAGCTTTCTTTACAATGCAACATCTGATGAAGTCAAAACTTCTCCCAGGAGGTGAAAAAATTCAGGTACATATATAAAACCATAATACGACTACAAATCGCTTATGGAAACGAAACAAGGACCTAACCTAAAGAGAAAATCTCGTGAGATATATAAAGGCTAAAAGATTAAGATAAGTAGGACATGTGATACGCAGTTATTTGTGCAATTTCCGTTCTGATGTGCTCCTTCAACTCTGTTACATTATTCGGTCGACTAACGAAAAGTCTGACGGAGACAAATCTGGAGACCTTGGTAGTAATTCAATAGAACTCTTTCTACTCATCCATTTATCAGGAAAAACGTTATAAGTAATTTCACACCTCAACTCCGGCGACGTACTGTGGACGAGCCCCATCCTGTTGCAACCACAAATAATTTATATTTGGAAATCACTGATTCAGGTGTAACATCAACTCTGATCTGTTACAGCGTTCCATAATGGTTTCGCAGAATTCGGTTCTTCTAGTCATCTTTTAACAGCTCCAGGGTCAGGAGTACTTTATAGCTCTTATAGCTTTTAGCTTTTGTAGCTCTCTAACAACAGTTGATTGGTGGATATTATTATCTAGTGCGACCTGCCTCGTTATTTTAAATGATTTTTATTCCTAATTCCTAAAAACCATTACCAGCAAAGCTTTTGTTCCTATGCTTGTGTATTGTTGTCATTGTTAGTTTATTGCAATGAGTACAAATTTTATTGTTGCGGCAAGAATTATGCGATTGATGGGAGGAAGGTGGCAGCGTTGTGCGAGAAACGTTGGTGTAAGTCTTGTGATTATATAACAAGTATGGAGGCTGTACGAAGAGACTGGTCTGCTCACTTGCTGACGTAGTTCAAGGCGAGCAGAACTAAAAAATTGCTTTGTATGGTTCTGAAGCTATTTTATTTTTCCATTTATATGTTATTTACTATCTTTAATGGGAATTAACCACAATATCATAATATTGTACTGAAGCTATTTTCGTGTGGCATTTTAAAGTAGTTACTATTTAAATGGGAATAAGTCACAATTCAAGGTTAAAGTAAGTTTATTGACGTTTCAATTTCCACTTCGGAAATTGTTCTCAAAATACGGTATTTACGGTCATTAAACTTACTTTTTAACCTTTAATTGTGGCTTATTCCCATTTAAACAGTAACCACAATCTCTCTCTCTTGTCGTTTCCTCATTGCTGAGGATCGTGATTCCCTACAATGCGGGCTGTCAATTCTCTCCATCTCTTGCGATTTTGGGCTGCTCTCATGGACTCGGAAAACGTCTCTCCAGTGGCTTTCTGTACCTGATCTGACCATCGGATAAGTGAGCGTCCTCGGCCTCTACGTCCTTCTATGTTTCCGCACACAATTAGTCTTTCTAAGTTGTCATTGTCTCTTCTCGCAATGTGGCCAAAAAACTTTAAAACATTTGCAAGACACTGAGAGGAGAGTCTGGTCTGAATGTTTAGCTCTTCGAGAATCGACTGATTGGATCTGTGCTCCGTCCACGAGACGCGTAGCATTCGTCTCCAGCACCACATTTCGAATGCGTCAATCCTTTTCCTATCCTCTGATTTTATTGTCCATGTTTCGGCACCGTAACTAAAGATTGAAAAAACGAGTGTCCGTACCAGTCTCATTTTGAGTTTTTTGGACAAAGAGCGGTCCTTCCATATTTTTGACAGTCGACTCATCGCGTTCTTGGCCATTCCTATTATTCTGCGAATTTCCGTATGGCAGGAGGCTGCATTGCTTAAGGAAGATCCTAGATACGTGAACTCGTCTACTTTCTCGAATTGATTTAGGGCGCCTGTTGTTTGGAGGATATTCGCATGGTCCACAATCATGATTTTTGTTTTCTGATTATTAATCTTGAGCCCACACTTGTTGCTTTCGGTTTCTACTCTCTTTATCAGTCTCGACATCTCCTCTTCAGATGTTGCTATCAGTGTTGTATCGTCTGCGAATCTTAAGTTTGAGATCTTTTTCCCTGCAATGGAGATGCCGCCTCTCCATCCATCGAGTGCGTTCCTCATTATGTATTCTCCTTATAAATTGAACAGGTCTGGAGATAGTATGCAGCCTTGTCGTACACCTCTGCTGGTTTTGAAGGTATCAGATTGCTGGTTTTCAATTCTTATTTTAACTGAGTTATCTTCGTATAAGTTTTTAATTAATATTGCCAAATGATCTGGAACTCCCATCTCATGAAGAACTGTCCAGAGAACTTCCCACTTTACACAATCAAATGCCTTTTGGTAGTCTAGAAAACAGATTATTATTGGAATTTTAAATTCGCGGGCCTTTTCTATGAGCTGCCGCATATTAAGGATTTGCTCTCTCGTACCCTTCCCTTTGACAAAGCCTGCTTCTTCTTGGGGAATTTGGTTGTCTAAGTACTGTTGCAAACGGCGTTTAATGATTCTTAGTAATATTTTGCTTGGATGGGAAATCAGTGAGATGGTACGATAATTACTACACTTTGTAGTTGTTCCTTTTTTATGGATTGTTATGCACAATGATGTGCGCCATTCTCTGGGCCACTTTCCGCATCTCCAAATTTTATTACAAAGTTTCCACATTATGTAACATCCTTTGTCTCCCATGTTCTGAAGGAGCTCTCCCGTGATATCATCGCAGCCAGGGGATTTATTCTTCTTGAGGTGAGTTACAGCTTCTTCAATCTCGGACAGCAGAATTTCAGGTTCAGGGTTGTATTCAGTGTTTTCGAGGGCTGAAGTGTGGCCTAGATTTACGTGTTCTTCCCTGTAGAGCTCTGAACAATAGTTTTTCCATGTTTCCAACACTCTGTCGATATCACTTATGATAATACCATGTTTGTCCTCTATTGCATAGTTCTTGGGTTTAAATTCTCTCGCAAGAATTTTCACTTTCCGGAAGAGGTCTTTGGTTTCATTTCGATATCCGTGATTTTCTATTTCTTGGCAGATTTCATAGATGTATTCTTGTTTGTCTTTTCGGCATCTTCGTTGAATATCTCTGGAGAGAGCTTTATATGTCTGTTGATCACAGGGGCCAACTTTAAGTTGCTTTCTTTGTTCAATCACTTTCCACGTGTTTCTGCTGATCCATGGTTTAATGCTATTATTTATAGATGGTTGGCGACATTGGTTCACTGTTGTTACGATGGTTTCTTTAATATCTGTCCAGGCTTCATCCACGCTTTGTTCTGACTGATTGTTCCCTATTCTGGTTAGTGCTGATTCAATTCTCTCTTTAAAGGTAGCTAATTCGGGGTCCGTTAGCCCAAAAGAACGGGGAGAAGCTTTGCGTATGTTCTTGAAACGCATTCTGTAATCTGCCATCAAGAGCTGGTGATCGCTTCCGCATTCTGCTCCTGGAAATGTTTTTGCGTTGGTAATTGAAGACTTCCATCTCGAACTGATCAGAATAAAGTCTATTTGATTTCTTGTTGTATCTCCAGGTGATTTCCAGGTATAGAGTCTACGCGGATGATGTTTGAAATGCGTGTTCATTACAGAAAATTTCCTTTGGTTGCAGAATTCTAGTAGTCGGTCTCCTCGCTCATTCCTATCTCCTAGACCATATGGCCCTACAATCATCTTCATGTGGTCATCTATATTCGTTCTAGATTCGTTCTATAGTAACCACAATATCAGTTGCAAATACTTTTATTTTGACGTTTCTATTTCCGGGCCTGCGTAGCGCAAGCGGTAGTGTGCTTGCCTCGCATGCCGGTGGTCGTGAGTTCGAATCCTACCGCCGGCAAGAACAACTAGGCATTTTTAAAAATGTCTATAGGCCCCAGGTCGACTCAGCCTGAATAAAATGAGTACCTTGGGTAAAACCAGGGGTAATAATAGGCGGTTGAAGCGTAGCACTGGCCATGTTACCTTCCTTGTATACCGTAGGCCCTAGATATAGCAGACTACCCTGCTATACTCCCAAAGCCGCGTGCGGTATAAAACGGGAGACTATTATTATTATTACGTTTCTATTTCCACTTCGGAAATCAATATTTGAATGGTCACGCCGTGTCCCTTTGATATCTTAGAGATAATAAATCGAGCATTTCCCGAGATCATCCAAATACCAAGGTATTTGGAAAGAGGGGACCTGGGAGAAGAAAATTTTGATTTCAAAACCTAAGAAAGTGGTTTAACATCTCTTCTTTACTCCATTCTTTATTTGTTTATTCAATTCTTCGAAATCATTGGTGTTTAGCTTTCCTTCACTTAGAAATGTGCGTCTCTGTTCCATCAACCGGTTTGTTCCTTCACTTATTCGGTCTTCTTTATTTTTCGTTTTTTTTTTGCAACAGTCAGTCCTGCTTTCAAGAGCTTTCGCTGCATTTCTTTATTAATTGTGTTCATGTCCGAATATTCTTGATAATGTTCTACTAATTCTTTTCTTAAGACTTCTCTGTATTCATCTCCCTTCTGTCGTATTTTGGAATCTAGATATCTAATATCTCTACAACCATATTATTCCGAATAGCTGTAAGCAAAGCTAGTATAGACATACTAATCGCCAACATCCGGAACGGATAGGCACTGTAAGAAGAAGACCTCTAAAATATGTTCTAGAAGAAAATATTTTACCGTTGATGGTTCTTCTTGGAGACTACGAAACATTTTTGCATTGGCCCCATAGTACTCGGACGGTTACTGAGTATCTCAACGAGATTAAAATGCACACGATTTGTTTGGTCTGCTCGCATTTCAGATTTAAATTCCATTGAACATTCGGAATGACAATACTGGTGTAGAAATTGGACTATCATCCGCAGAATCGCAGAATCTGATCCAACATATGCCTTGTCGTTTACAACCTGTTATCACTGAGATTAACAGCTTACAGAAGAGAATATACTCTATCCATTAAACAAAAAATTTTTTTAAATAACTTCAAATTACAGGGTGATCCTAATTTTATGTCCAGCAGTGTATTATTTATCCACGGGTATCACAATGAGAAGTTACGAATGACAAAAGAAATCTTGACAGATCAGCTAAATGAAATTAATAGAAGAACGCAGGGACAAAAACGAAATATTTTTGTTGCTAAACAAAGCTGCATCATATCCACAATTTGTATTATGTAATGTTAAACAATTGCTTGATGAAGGGATTATAAAATAATTACATATATTTATTAAACCTTTTCCTTAAAATTTTGTAAAATTTTACACGTAAAATATGTATAATTCACGTAATGCTTTTTATGAAGCATTACTTGAATTGATTACAGAATTAGATTGTTTGTATTAATTTGATTATTAATCGGAACACTAAAATATTACTAAAACTACCAGGACATTATGCAACAGATGGAGAAACAAAACGCTAAAGATCTGAATACCACGGGCTTCTTCTTTCGATACTCTGACCGATTATCGAACGTTGGCGATCATATTGGCAATAATAACTTTGTTTATGGCAACTCGAAACAAATTGGCCCAACTATGGACTTAGAAATGGACAAACACCTTATGATAGATCTTAAAAAATAATGTGGAGACAGATAGTACAGTCAGCCAAGACCCACGACGGGTCGTAGAGCTATAGGTAAGTAAATAAGTAAAATATTACGGATGTCATGTGTTATGCACCAGCATTATTGTCCGGCAACATTTTCCTCGCGTTTTCCACTTATTAGCTTCCAATCATAACAATACGATGTTCATAAGACGCATGATTAATCACAAGTTGAGACTTTTAACATCGTCCCACTTAGTTTCAGATTGTCCTAACATAAGAAATGTGTCTCAAAAATTCACGAAGTTATAGTTTACTATTTTTTTCATATTAATATTTAACACATTCTAGAATCCTGAAAACATTTATACTAAAACAGGCACTAAGACTAGATTTCAAGGAGACTTGTTAAAGCACGTAAATGCAAATAACATTGCTGTTGACACTCATAAAATAATTAAGTAATTAAACTTTGATCAAATAAAGGGCAGTTTATCAAGCAGAGTTTAATTAATTTATCTTGCCCAAGTACTTTCGCTCCCTAGAGCATCTTCAGGGGCATTTCGTCAATTGTGGCCTATCCGATAAGAATAAAATGTTATAAGCATACACTACGCAAGGACAAATAAAAATTTTAAAGTGTTTGTCCTTGCGTAGTGTAGTGTGATGTACCATTTTATGTTTATAACATTTTATTCTTGTCGGATAGGCCACAATTGACGAAATGCCCCTGAAGATGCTCTAGGGAGAGCTTCGACAAGATTAAATTAATTAACCTGTGCTCGATAAACTGCCTTTTATTTGATCAAAGTTCATTTATTCGAGCATTCAACCATATATCAATTTAATTAAGTAATTTTTTAACAAACTAGATTCTTTTTTAACTTACCTGGACACTGAAGAATGGACCTATGATATGAACTGTTGTTTCATCTTCTTGCGGCGACGCCCCTGTTCGGGTAGCTTTATAACGCTGCCGGTAACACGTTGCAGTTCTCTCACATTCTGACCACCTTTACCAATAATTCGCCCAACTTGAGAACTTGGTACCATAATTTCAACTGTTAACCGCACATCGTCGGATCCAGCGACGAAGCCTTCTTCCCTCATCTTTTCAAAAATCAAATATTGAGCCTAAAAACAAATGTAAGTAATAAATTATATGTGCTTTGTTTACAGTGCGATATTATTCACACATTTTTGTAGATCCTTACTAATTATCGAAAGGGGTTTATTTGAAATTTCTCTATTATACAGAATTATCGAAAAAAAAAAAATCATAAGCAGACTTTGGAATAAGCCTTGGATGGCTATTAATGCCTACACAAGGAATTTAAAATAAAAATTACATAACTTAACTTTTAAATAATATGCGAGAAGGAATATTGACATCACGTTAAACCCGCCATTCTATGACACATGTTTCGCTATTTTTCGCTAATTCAAAACCTTTTTATCATTCACTGACTCGTGCAATCTAGTTTAAATAGAAGCAAACCTACTCCTTGACATTTTCTGTCTCTCTAATCCACATTCTTTTTGGATTAGAGGGCCAGAAAATGTCGAGTAGTAGGTTTGCTTCTACTATAACTTGTGTATACAATTGTTTGATTCATTTAAAATACAATTTTAACGAAAACACAATAACCTAGAACAAGTTTTAAGCGGTTTTTATTACGTTTTTAACATATACAGGGTCTCCCCGAAAATAGTACGTTTCTTTAAGGTATGGATATAATACACAATTTGGAACAAAAAAGTCTTATAACACTTTTTTTCTAAACTTAACCGTTTCCAAAAAAATGACATTGTTTTCCATACACAAAAATTTTTATTATCAAAAAATTAAATAATCTGGCAACGGCATACGCAGAGAAAGTGCTTCTGAATAAAAACTAGTTTGTTACTTGGGGTATTTCAACATAATCCAACCTTTATTTATTTACTATTGAAGGCTGTTGACATCTGAGAAACTGTACTTAATATCTACAAAATAATTATTTTAATTAAGTACTATGGTTTAATTCCTAAAAAGTGATTAATGCAACTAAGAAAAATTATTTGTAATGTTTTTCTGAAATGTATTAAAATATGGAATAGTTTTAAATGAATTGTTACAATGTCAATTATTTACAATAAAAGACACTTTATCTTTTAACAATGTATTTATTAAGATTTGAAGGTGTTGAATGCCGAGGGCTTTAACTGAATTATATAGGTTAAAGTGGAAATTAAATACAGCAGACAAAGTTTATTAATTCTAATTTATTTTTTACACTATGCTCGGACTATCAGTAATTTGTTTACATCTGAACTAACATTAAATTAGATACTTGTACGACGAATCCAATTGTTAGTAATGCCATAGTTAACTAAATTGTGTCGGATAGTTTCTGTAGCATCAAAAATTCGTTACCGTAATTCGGCTTCTGTTTCGATTTTATCTCGGTTATCATAAACCAACGATTTCCCCAAAAATAAAAATCCAGTACACTGCATTCCAGACCTCGTGATGGCCATAGAATGGGTCCATTCCTACCAATTCAACGACGGGGATAATTGGTATATAGAATATTTTTAACAGCTCTAGTAAAATGTGCTAGGGTCCGTCGTGAAGAAACCACATTCACGTCGTGTTTGCAAAGGCACGCCTTCCAGAAGTACCGGCAAATATTTTTCAAAAAATTATAGTAGGCCTCTCCATTTAGTATTCCGGGTAATTTATATGGACCTATCAAACGATTGTTAATTGTTCCAGCCCCTTATTTTATGATAAATTTTCGTTGAAAGTTTGTCCTTCGTTAACACTTTGACTGCCATGAGAAGCATGCCGTAATGCACGGCCAATTTGATTATGTTGCCGCGAGAATTAGCTTTTGATTCTCGCTTGTATGTTATTTATATGGGATAGAAATATGTGCGGCTGAAAGGACCCGCTTTTTTCCACTATGGTCGTCACCCCTTATGTGGCAATTATGAAATTTATACACGCCGTTTCTCGTGAAACATGCTGCATCCGCACATAATACTTTAGATGAAAATTATATTTTCGTACTGCACGTAGTTAACAGATTTCTTTTTGCATACCAATATATATTTTCGTTTTTTTGGTTAAAGAGTTGAATTTAGAAAAAAATTATATAAGACTTTTTTTGCTTTACATGTTGCCTTCTCCTTATACCTTTAAGGAACGCACTATTTTCGAGGACACCCTGTATATGAGAGCGATTTGTCAGCAATGTAATAGAATTCATAAACAAGGATATTCAAATTCAAAATTCGTTTGTCTATATGTGTTCTATTCTAAGCATTTTCAAAAGTAATGAATTACTAATATCTAAGTTAAACCACAAATTGTAAAAACATTTTTTTTCTAAAACATAGGACGCGTTTCGACATCACTGTCATGATCAGCTTTAAACATAGGAGAAGCTATATGGAGTCTAATTTAAATAAAAGTGGCTACATGATCAACACCATAGGGAAATTACTATTTGAAACCGTCCAACAATGGGTTATTAAAAGGACTCCAAAAGTCCAATTGCTGTCCTATGAGTACAATTTTGGAGAAACAGATTGGGACCAGAGTTCTCAGATTTGGCACCAAAACCCTGGTGCCAATCTCAGATCTGTACTAACATATGGATGTGAAACATAGACAATGACCAACTCAAATAAAGAAAAACTCGAGATGATTTGAAAGAGAAAAACTCTCTGGGAAAAAAAATTTTCCGACCTCACCACGATATTATTACAAACCAATATAGGATAAGAACAAATAAAGAAATAAAACAACTTTAAAATGAAAATGAAGTCCAGGAGATCACATCGCAACGAATAAGGTGGGCAGAGCACGTACATAAACTGCATGATGGGGAACTTGTAAAACTGGTTGATGAGGTTCCCACATAAAAAGTTCACTTGAGTATCGCCGAATGCGATGTAGAGACAACATAAAATAAGATCTCCAAAAAATGAACATTCCAGTTGACTTGATTGATAGAAAATGTGTAGTCAGTTAATGTCCACACCGTAATGATTTTATGATTGTTATTTTTTAATGATAATTTATATAATTACAGTTACAACACAGAAGTTGTTACCAAAAACCTTACGATATCCAATAATGGAATATTAAATGATTTCACATATTTATTCATGGCATTTTACTCCGTATCAATTATTGCGACTGACCATCAAGTTATATATTTTAAATCGAGTATATAAAATTCACAGAAGACTTATTGCTTCAGTTTCTTACATTGTTTGCTTTGTTTTAAACAACTCAAATATTAAAATTATTGCCCACTTTATAATAAATTTACCACGAAGATAGTATGTTAGTCAAATCTAATGCAAGTTACTTAAATATAGCCAGACAAGTCATAATTTATTAGTAATAAATTGTTAATTTTATGTGACAAAAGCAAATTTTGCGCAGAATAAATTTTAAAAATATACCTTCTGGTGGATATTACAATGTGCTTAACAACTGTACTTCTCACCTTTATATGTACATGTTTTATACTTTAGGTTACAGAATAAATATTACTTTATTTATTACTTGATATTATTTATTCAAATGTTATAACGCCAAAAAAAAAACAAATAATTCTTTGTTAGAAATGTTTATTTAACTTCCCCAAAAATATTCCGTTCCGCATGGTGACCACGCTACTACCGATCGATGGCTCGAGTTTAATTACAAACAAAAAGTAGACTTACTTTCCATTGGGCTTCCGGTGATCCGACAATTGTGACCCTCCTTTCGTTCTGTGTTTCTTGTGGTTTGGTTTCATCAATAGGTGCTATTTTGACGGACGCTCCGGAGAATCGTATGATATTTCTAATGTGTGATCCCTTAGTACCAATGATTGCGCCTACAGCGTTATTAGGGATATACAAGTAGGTTGTCTCTTGGGTATCGCCACCAGATTGAGACCCTGCGGGGTACATACCGGGGTAAGGAGCTTGACCTGAATAAAGTCCTCTTGAACCATAACCAATTCCTTAAACAACCAAAAGGACGGTTATAGATACTTTAAATAATAAACCTCTGACGCGTTTAGAATTTAAAGTAGTTCAGTTGAATTTACATTTTCTTTTTTTCTTAACAATAATATTCCCCATTCTATATAGCTTCTTGGTATTAAATAAACATCCATAAAAATGTGAGTTTTTTATGCTCGAACAGCTTGTTTTTACCAAGAATTGGTAACAATTATAAAGAGCTTTGACACTTCCTTGTATCGAGCTCAGAAACTGTCGAAAATTGGAAGAAATCATGGATAAGCTAGAGTACTTCATTCTTCCTGTACCACACGTGATATTGACTACAAGGTTTGCCCATAAGATTTTAATTTAAACAAATTTGGATGTTTTCAAATTTATTTATTGTTCTGCGTTTCCAAGTCCAGTTTTTGTAGTCGGATAGCAATACATAATGCACTCCTTTAATACCAATGAATTCTTTACCAACTGGTAGCAAAGAACTTTAAATTGAGATTTGTAAAATGCAAAACGTTCTCCTTTATTGATTGATGTAAATGTAAGACATTTTTAAATTATAGTCCCTACCAAATTCTCTAATAAACTGTCCTAAAGATATATGTAAATTCAACTGTTTTTGATTAAAGTAAATTAGAAAATGATTCAAAAGTCTTATATATCTTTATGTTAAAGGATGTAGAGTTAAAAAATTGAATAATTTTAATTATATAGATATTTGGTGCGATAATGAAATTTAGACTCTAAAACAGATTTTAACCCTTAATAAGGGTTATAATTGAAATTGTAATATTGACCGGATTATAAAAATAATTAATAACAAAAAATTTTAATTGTTTGGTGAAATGTCTTTAAAAGTATGTACCATAAAAAAAGGGTAATTTGTTCCAAAATTTTTCAAAACACAAAAAAAAACAGATGCGCTACTGCGGTAATTTATTAATTAGGAAATGACCTACCTAATGAAAAATATGGGGTTTTTAACGATTTTATTGTAAAAAAATACATAACATTCAAGATTACGATATATATTAAAACAATTCTTCTTTTCATTTGAACATGGAATAACTCTGCAGGTAAATCACGTTGATGGGGTCACAATTGAATACCTTGGCTAATGCGTACACATATGCCTCGTTGGGCACCAAATTTTGATGTAGTTGCTGGAATTTGTGAGCCATCAGACCCGAAGCAACTCTTGCCTTTCTCTTACGTCGCAGAATATTATATAAGCATTAACGAATGATATGTCTATTAATCCCCAAAATAGTCTATGCCACCATTTCTTGCAGCGTCTATCTAGTCCTTAAGCTGTTCATCTCATCTCATCATCATCAGTTGGCGCTACAGCCCTTCGTGAGCCTTGGCCTGCTTCAAAACATTCTTCCATCCTTCCCTAGTGAGTGTCTGTCTTCTCCAGCCCCTCACTCCAATCTCCATCAGATCTTCCTGTACATCGTCCAGATATCTGAGTTTAGGTCGCCCCTTCTTCTTCTTTCGACCGGCCTGTTTAGCATAGTTATTTTAGTGGGATCACTCTCATCAATCCGCATAACGTGGCCCACCCACCTTAGGCGGTTTATTTTGATGGTCTTCACAATATCTGCATCACAAAAAAGTCTAGAGTTCAAAGTTATATCGCCTTCTCCACAGACCCTGTTCGTTTACTCCGCCATATATGGTCCTCAATACTTTTCTTTCAAGGACTCGTAGTAACTCTTCATCTCGGGTCGTCATTGCCCATGTTTCCGATCCGTATGTGAGCATTGGGCGTATTTTTGTTTTATAAAGTTTGCACTTTGTTGCTATTGACATACTTCTCGCTCTTAGTTGAGGGCCCAGGCCAAAATAACAGCGGTTAGCCACGCATATTATTTTTTTGATTTCGTTGGATGTGTTATTTTTGTAGTCTACCAGTGATCCTAAGTAGCGCAATTCTTCTACCATTTCTATCGTTTCGTGTTGCACCTCTAAGTTATTTTATTCAATTCTTGATATGGCCGGCATATATTTAGTTTTCTGGATGTTAATCACAAGTCCGATGTTTTCTGCGGCATTTTTGATACGCGTGAAAGCCTCCACTGCTTCATTTTGGGTTATTCCAATTATGACGATATCATCAGCGTATGCCATTATTTGTATACTACGGGTATATATCGTACCTTTTAAGTTTATTCCCGAATCTCTCATAACTTTTTCTAACGCTAGGTTGAACAGCGTGCACGATAGCGCATCTCCCTGGCGCAGTACTCTGTTGGTTTTAAATGGTTTTGAAACATCCCCTTGTACGCGCACTTTACATTCGACTTTCATCATTGTCATTTTAATTAATTCTACCAAACGTTTGGTATTCCTAATTCATCATCGCCGAATATAATTGGGACCTGTCAATAGTATCCTACTCTGCCTTAAAGTCTACGAAGATGTAATGGCAGTCTATGTCGTACGTCGTTTTTTCTCATCTCATCAGTTCATCATTTAACTGTGATAACTGTCTCGTTCAGCTGACTCAAGTTAATTTCATCCATCTTTCTTGTATACGAATTTCTATGGACTGAGCCAGATCTTCTACTTCTAGAGTAGGTACTTGAATTTTCTGGTATAGCATTGTTAGAATTATTCAACGTCTTATCATTATTATCAGATTCTTGGTCAGTTTGGAAGCCTAGATCATCCGGTATACTCTCAAACAAGCAATTATTAACAACACTTAATAATTCTGCTTCATTTAGAGGTTTTTTGCTAGTAAAAAAAAAGGATTAAAATATAACAAGAAGCGATAGTCAACAAATTTATCTTTTTCTTGTGCCACTCTTGTCGGAGATTGGAAATCATCAAGGCTATTCTGATCTTGTTTATAGCTGACCTAAAGAGTTCATTAGTGTTACAGCCAAACCACTCTCTCAAATTATGCAACCATGACATTCTTCTACGGCCTGGATTCCGTTTTCCTTTTATTTTTCCTCGCATTATATTTTGAAGTAATGCGTATTTATGTCCTCTCATCAGGTGACTCAATTCGAGTTTTCTTCGTTTGATCGTTGACAAAATTTCTGGGTCTTTTCCTATCCTTCGTATTACTTCAAAGTTCGTTACTCTTTCAACCCAACTTATCTTCCAATATTCGACGGTAGCACCACATCTCGAAACTTTCAATATTTTTTATGTTGTTCTGTTTGAGAGTTCAGGCCTCTACATCGTAGAGGGATGCTTATATCTCTGTTGCAGAAGAATTTCCTCATCTTTATGAAGGTGGCCCTGGCAATTTCATTACGTCTTTTTATTTCATTGTTTTGGTCTCCAGTTTCGTTTACTGATGTCCTTAAGTATTTGTAACTTGATACTTGTTTCAGTTTTTATGCCGTTTATACTAATATGTGTTGCTTGTGTCATGTTTTTACTGAAGACCATATACTTAGTTTTTTTGATATTGATATTTATACCGTAATTGTTGCAGGCAATATTTATATTTGTAAGTAAACGTTGTAACTCTTCTACTGTTCTTGCAACTAGTACAGTGTCGTCTGCGTATCGAATATTATTTACAACCTCTCCATTGATTACGATTCCTTCGTTTGTTTGCAAGGTTTCCTGGCAGATGCTTTCACTATAAACACTAATAGCAGCGGTGACAAAATGCATCCCTGTCGTACTCCTCTATGTATTTCTATTGCTTGTGATATCTCATTTTCTATTTTGATGTTAGCTTTCTGATTCCAATATAGATTGAGAATTATTCGCAGATCTTTATTATCTATGTCCTTTCTTTCAAGAATGTCTCTTAGCTTATCATGGCGTACTCTGTCAAACGCTTTTTCAAAATCGATAAAACATGCATGTACTTCCTAATTAACGTCTAGGCATCTTTGTGTAAGAACATTCAAACCGAAGAGAGCTTCTCGAATCTAGAGAGCTAGTCTTTTTCTGAACCCCATCTGTGTATCACTAATATCTGAATCCAACTTTTAATAAACTCGGTTGTGGATGACTTTTAGAAATATCTTTAGTAGATGGCTCATTACAGATATTGTTTGATGTTCTGAACATTCTTTTGCATTGGATTTCTTTGGCAGTGTAACGAATGTAGACAACAGCTACTCTTGAGGTATAATACCAGTTTTGTATATTGTGTTAAATACGTGCAATATTATATCTATTGAGTCATCATTCAAGAGCTTTAGCAATTCAGTAGCAACCTCATCAGGTCCATTTGCCTTTCCAGTTTTGGAATTTCTAAGTGCCATTTCTACTTCACATTTTAAGATTTCACGTCCCGTTTCACCATTTACCTGAACAATGTTATTTCTGTTGTCCTCAAACAATTCTCTTATGTATTCACTCCATCTATTAATTTTCTCTGTTAAATCTATAATAATCTTTCCGTCTTTGTTCGTAAGCAAATTTATTTGATGTCTTCTTTGAGTTCCAGTAATTTCTTTTACTTTTTTAAGTACATTGAATGTGTCATATTTTCTTTCATAATTTTTCATTTCTACACATTGTTCTTCAATCCATAATTCTTTGGCATTCTTTATTCTTTGCTTTATGTTCTTATCAACCTCTCTGTATTTTTGTGCATTATTCTTCATTTTACATCTTTCATCCACTAGTTCTAGTATGTCTGGTGTCATCCATACCTTGTGTTTCTTTGCATATCTGGTTAGGTGTTTCTGTAACGTAGTTCTTATTGTAGTGTTTATATACTTAAGTTTTTCATCTATGTTGTCTGTTCTGCGGATTTGACTTTCTGCTATACTGAGGTTGGTGTTTATTTCTTCTTGCACTGTTTGTCGTAGGTGTTCACTCTTAAGCTGGCTTAAGTCTAACGCTGGGGTGATGGTTTTTCGTATTTTCTTTGGTCTAGCTCGTCACAGGTACTACTGAATTATGATCCGAACCGATGTCAGCTCCAAAATAAGTTTTAGTAGATTTCACGGCATTACGGTATCTTTTTGTCACCAGTATGTAATCTATTTAGTTTCTGATTACTTTTTCTTGAGTGTGTTGAGGTGACGTCCACGTATACAGTCGCCTTGGGGGTAATTTAAAGAATGCATTAGTTATTATTAAATCTTCACTTGACAAAACTGAACTAAACGGTCACCTCTTTCAATTCTATTACCTAAGCCATATTCACAGACATTTCTTCCACCTTTAGCCTGACCTACCTTGGCGTTCAGATCGCCCATTACTATGTTAATGTGTTGTCTCTTTGTTGTTCTCATCAGCTCTTCTAAGATATTATAGAATTGTTCTATTTCCTCTTCGTCTTTGTCTGCTGTCGGAGCGTACACTTGTATGATGTTTATTATGTTCTTATCTTTTCAGTGTATTAACATCACACGCTCTGAGAGTGAAGTAAAGTTAGAATGAAGTAAAGTATACTACAGCATCTTTCCATTTTTTTTGAGATGATGACTCCAATTCCGTATCGATGGGTTGTGGTGTCACTTCTGGCATAATAAACATTCCATGATTATTTGTGGGACATTTGGCATTTCCTGGCCATTGTGTATCACTCATGCCTAATATGTCTATATCCAAACGATACATTTCCAAGACGGCGTTATCTAATTTTCCCGAAGAGAATAAGCTCCTTACATTCCATGCAATTTTTATGGTTGTCTTTTTCTTATTACAAGGGTTTCGCAGGTTTACGGTAAACAAATTTATAACCAACAGTAAATTACTTCCAAATGGCTGACGGTACTTCAAACTTTCGGTAACTTTCGTTACGGACAAAGTCCGGATCCATTTGGACTGATATAATTAAGTAAAAATCGTTATTTTGGAAAACTACTTTCTTTTGGGCAACTCCCGACAACCTAACAATCCGTTGCTGAATTTTCCGTTCCTTTTTCGGTCCAACATGTTCCAGAATACAGTCTTAGGAAATTGTAACTTAATCATGCGTTTAATTGGGTCGATAGAATGTATACGAAAATATGTTAAATAAATGTGATTCTCATGCTAAAATATATTCTATTTAAATTGAAAACCAATACATCCTTTAAATAAGATTTTAATGAGAATAATGATAAAAATGTAATGAAAAATTTTTGTACCTAGGTTATTTTTACCTGCTGTGGCCATCATCGCCATCGGATGCAACCCCGGGAACATCATGGTCTGGGGTGCCATGGCCTGCAGATCATTTTCGTAGCTTTGTCTTAATTTTGAGCTAATCTGGGATTCGGCGCGGCTCATATTTTCGATGGATCCCTTGACAGTGATTATACGTTCTAGATTGAAAGAATTGATATCGTTTATACTGGACACGGTGATCTTTGTATCTGTCTCTTGCATTATCCTCTTGATTGTATTACCTCCTTTTCCTATAATCCGTCCGATTAGATTATTATGAGCTAAGATCTTTAAAGAAATTTCCCTAAAATACAGAAAAAGATTAATCATTTTGACGTTTAAATGATATGTTTATATTTTATATGCAACGTTTTAAAATAAAATTTCCTGAGAAAGTTTATAATATTGTAACAGTTTTTAATTTTTTAAATCAATAAATAACATTTATCAAGAATCTGAGTGAAATAACTAATATTTTGTAAGAATTGTAGAATGAGATATATTATAAAAAAATGTAGCCAGAAACTCAGTGAAAAATTCAGATGTATTATAAAATAATGTAGCCAGAAATTCTTAATTCACTTAAGAATTTATGTTTGTTTTTCGTCTTTTAATGGGGGAAGGTGATCCAAATGTTCGAAGCATACCTCGGTCTTAAAAGGTGGACAAAAATGCCTTCCAGTGTGGCCACGATGATGTCCGAGAACGCACGCAGGGGTTGTTCGGATACCATCGCCGTCAATGCCAGAGACCTACCTGTTAAAAAAACCCTCCTTAGCGGTGAATTACCGGTCGGACCGCCTTGATTGGGACGCAACATCGGCACGGCATTCACCCCGATCTCTCATCTACGCACAATTCTCCCTACACTCTCCCTCTGTCCCCCCTGTTCTTGTTCAATGTCGCCCATTCTCATTCTGCCTTATCTTCTTGCTTGCTCCTGGGCACCCTGTCCCCTTTGGGTTGCCTTTCTTCTTGTTCCTTTCTCTCCAATGTTCTCCTCAAACATCATTAAACTGCTCTCTACCGATATGACGACCTAAGCATCTCCATTGCAACTACTTCCTAGCTCTCTCTCAAGCAGGCTCCTCTCCATCTATCACATACTAATAGAGTGTGTGAGGCTGTGCCTGATATTTGACAGTACAGACATTTGTCATTTTCTGCCTTTCTAAATCTACAAAGGTATGCCCTGAAGCAACCATTTCCTGTGAATTATATTAATTAAGCATATGTCTGCGTTAGGAAGTAATCCAAACGCCGATGCCCGCAGTCCATGCATCTTCTCAGAGTAGGAATCAGCGACTTCGTCCACTGCGCCACCTTTCCATTATGGACCTCTGCCTTTCTTGTCTCTCTTCCTTTGTTAAACGTTCTGTTGCTATGTCTTCATTTCTTTTCTCATATATTCTTCCTTGCCTTCATTAGCACGTGCATCGGAATACACTCGGTGATAACTCTCAGCGCCTATGCAGAGACTGTTCTGTATGCACATGCCACACTCAATAGACTCTTCCTATCTGCTCGGGTGAGCCGCTTTCTATACGCCTTTGTTAAAATTGCAGTAATCCAGACAGGCGCAGCGGAATTTATGACTATGACGTTATGCGTATTTCCAGATCTACGTACTTGGCGACCACCAACAAAGTCATCATAGCCAGAATGATCGCTAATGTTCGGAACGGACAGGCACCCTAAGAAGAAGTACTTGGCGATCTTTTCCTTGTATTTAACACGTAGATTATTATTGTTAGGTATCGCTAAGTGTTGTTTGTCTAGTTAGTTTATTAACTAGAATGAAATTTGGTCTATTCTGTGCCACTGATTGGCCTGTGAGCACAATATGGTCCCAGTATAACTCGTAGTTGCCATTATGAAGCATATTATCAGGGATATATTGATAATAAGTGTGGCAGTGTTGAGAAGTTCCAGTTGTTTAGCTATCGCTCGAATCATGTTGTTCCTTATGCTTAGTTGCAGCTACCTGTAAGACGTAGGATGGTTTCTTCTTCTACAAGCGCTTTAAAATTTAAAATTATTCCAATCTTTCAACACTAGCATTAGTTCTACCTACCAATACTTGTTATAAAGAGACCTCTATCATTCAGTGTTGATTTTATCTGTAATATTATTTCTCTGATAATAGTTACCCAAAAGTTACTCCTAGATCAAGAAATATCGAAACCATACATAAACCGCATAATATATTTAACTTACCCTTTATTCGTGTTGTTAGCCTCCTGTTGCATAACTTCTAGAATTCTCTTACATGCATTGGTACAATTATCTGGATTACCGTAAATAGTAATGGCTTTCTCTAAGGAACCTACATTATCTTTTCTATGAACATCAACTCTTGCCCTCGTCTGTTGTGTTATCTGTCTTATTGTTGAACCTTGTCTACCAATAATAGCTCCTACCTATAAAAAAAGACGTTCTCAATCTTAATTTCGGGCCGGGTAATTAGAAATTTGCTGCTCATTTATTTTCGAATATTATCGAATACATCATACAGAAAAATGCGAATAATTAGATACTGCTAACTTGGATTCAGAGCCGAAATGGGAACAAGAGAGGGTTTGTTTTCTCTAGAAGTACTATTGCAGAAGTGTTACTACCAACAAAAAGATGTTTTCCTATGCTTTGTCGATTTCGAAAAGACATTTGATCACATTATTATAGATAATAATAAAATGCTAAGTTCTTTACAGAACATTAACTTAGATGATAAAGACCTAAGATTAGTAATAAATTTATCTTGGAGGCAAAGTGTCAAAATTAGGACTGACGATCAAACAGTCACAAATATTAGTAAAGGAGTAAGGCAGGGTTGTGTATTCTCCCCTTTGCTATTTAAACTTTACACGGGACTGCTATTCAAGAGAACCTTGGAAAACCTTTCTAAAAAATGAATAGGGAACAAATTTCTAATATAAGATATACAGATGGCAGTGTCCTAATAACTGATACAGACACGAACTTAGAAAATCTTAGACCAACTTAATGGTGCTTGTCGAGAGTTTGGAACTAATATTAACGAGAGAAAACTCAAGATAATGGTAATCGAAAAGAGGCAAAATGTCCCTTTATCTATAATCATAAATGAGAAGATATTGTATTAGAACAGGTAAACGGTTACAATTCTCGGAATGTTCAAAAAACAAATGAAGAACTTCTAGATAGACTAAAATAGAAAAACAATTATTTAGAACCATTAGAATAAGAAAAACCTGCTGTTTTAACCATTGGCTATGTAACGAAAAATCCGTCTCACGTTTTATATTCAGTATGGGTTAAATGGGAAAATAGGACAGTGTCATCAATAGTTGCTATCAATTATAACCACTTCAGTCTTTGTTTATGTTCTGCGCATAGATATATAATACAAATCACTAAGAGCTTCAATACAATCGCGTTCCCCCAGTGCGACAAAGACAACTGACGCAAAGCAGCCCCTGCAACTCTTTTTAATTTCACAGATTTATCGACCACGTGACCTAAATGACCAATGAGTATGTCACGTGGTCGATAAATCCGGCCCATTAGAAAGAGATGCAGTTACTGTTTTGCGTCAATTTTCTCTCTCGCACTAGATAAACGCGACTGTATTGCAGCAGTCAGTCTATTCTATGGTTGTGCGTCAATGCAATTATAGGTTATGTTGTTTGTTATTGTTGATTCAAACAAAAATACCCAATTTAAATTTTACGTTTCAAATTTATTCGGGGTCATTAAATTCACTCAGCGAAGCGAAAACTATCTTCATCGCTGGAATATGTAAATGTATATTGAAACATTAATTTAATGTGTAAAGCTGGAATAAATTTTGTATTTTTAGGGAAATAAGCTTTGGTTAAAGTTGTCAGATTGATATATTTTAAATAAAACTGTTTTGTCTTTGTATCAACATTGTTTGATTACAATCATGTAATAGAATTTCGTAAATGTATTATTATACGTAATACAGGTTTAAATCGTTTATACATCTTCATGAAGAAAAAGGGTTAAAGAATTACTGAGAAGTTGTTCGTCCTGAAAAGGGCGATTTGTGAAAAATAATATGAAATGTAATCAGTGACGAAATAAAGAGTGACGAAATAAAGAGTGACACCAAAAAAGAGAAATAGCGAAGTAACAGTATAAGGTTAATTGCATAAATGATACCACTAAACGCAATCATTGACTCAAGATTAAGACGTTTCACAAAAAATGGAACTAGCAATAATACCACTGTAAATAAGAATAGAACTATTGAAATATATAAAGATTAGTAAAATAGGCGTTTAGTCCATAAGAGCCTGTAAAGAACATAAAACGTGAGACAGACTATACATTCCACAATTGTTCTTTAAGGGTAAAATAGAGGGTTTTAGAAACCAGATTTAGAAATATAACTAGGATATGAAGAAATTATGCGTACAGTTGAAAACAGAGCAATGCTTGTCACTATAACCCTTAACCTCCAATAATGGTAACGGCACAGTAAGAAGAAGAGGATCAAATACAATTTCGAAGTTTTTGTCGGAAAATTAGTTTATTGAATATTTTCCACGTATTTGAAAGAGTAAATAGCTCGTTTACTTTTTCATCAGGGGGTATAGACAAATATATATATAAGGTTCTTGAACTCCTAAGTGGAGCATAGAGCTTCAGTGAAAACGCGCCATCGGGTTCTATTTTGCGCTAAGGCCTTCACCTCATTCCAAGACTTTCCTTGTTTTCTTATCTCGTCCATGATGGATCTTCTCCAAGTTTGTACTGGGCGACCTTTTTTTCGTTTTCCTTGGGGATTCCACTCTAGGGCAGTCTTTGCAATACTGGAGTTATTTTTTCGGAGTGTGTGACCGATCCAACCCCACTTTCTGGACTTTATTTCATTTACTACCCTCTTTTGTTTGGTCAGGTGTAGTAAGTCTTCGTTTCTGATGATGTTAGGCCAGAAAATACGAACAATTCTTCGTAGACATTTATTAACAAAGACCTGCAGTTTGTCTGTAAGGGTTTTTGTCGCTTTCCAGGTTTCACATCCGTAAAGTAGTACAGACATGACATTTGACTGGAATATGTGGATCTTTGTCCTCGTAGTGTATTCTCCAGACCTCCAAACAGGGTTGAGCATGCTGAAAGCTTGTTGCGCTTTTCGTATCCTCATACGAATATCGTCTTCTGTACCTCCGCTTTCTGTTATGACACTTCCAAGATACGTAAAGTTTTCCACATTTTCAATCTGCATGTTATTAATGGTGAATAGCGTGTTGTTTCTTGCATTTATTCTCAGGTATAGACAAAAAATACACCAATATTCACCATACTTACTTGTGAAAATTATGAAAAAGTCTTCAGATGATAAAAAAATCTGAGATGATAAAAATAAGGCGACAGGGAACTAGATAATTCTCATTTCATGGTAACACACTGTAAAATATTGTTCAATGAACAATAGTAACATTGTTTCGAATCATACTGTTGATTTGCTTATACACTCTTGAAAATTCTGATCCAGAGAAAAATATATACTTACGTAGTGTAAATTATATATTTTTACAAGTATCAATGTATTTAATGAAGCGACCTTGTGATATTGAAATGCAAAAAATATGAATTTTGATTGGGAAGGCTGAACCAACTTCTTGGTTGTGTGTTTATTGACTAAGATAATATATATTGACATACTCTATCTACTTTATTTTACTAAAACATCAAATCTAAAAAGAGAACAGATGTGTTGGGGAATTTAATTTGACAATAAATATTCAACATTATTAGAGAAAATATACGGTTTACGTTAAATGTTACTTTTTAAATGTTAAAAAAAAAAAAAGATTGAATACAGGAGTCACAAGAACCAGTTTATTACTTATATTTTGTACTGGAGCTTATACTAAGTTTTTATTTTTTTAAGAAAAAAATATGAATAAATTATTTTTGAATATTAAAAAAAACTTCATCATCATCATCATCAGTTCGCGCTACAGCCCTTCGTGAGCCCTGGCCTACCTCAAAATATACCTTACATACTTCCCTTTCGAGTGTCCGTCTGCTCTATCCCCTTGCTCCAATCTATCCTGCATATCGTCCAGATTTCCGATTTTAGGTCGCCCCTTATTCTTTTTCGACTGGTCTATCTAGCATGGTTATTTTAGCTTGATGGGCGTGGCCCATCCATTTTAGACGGTTTATTTTGATGGTAATTGATGGATTTGACCGTTACTTGATAAAAATTCATAACAGCAACTTCTTATGGTGCCTATCCGTTACGGATGTTGGACACTAACATGGCTATTCTGACTACGTTGACTTCTGCCCTGAAAAGTCCGGTAATGGTTAAGTTAAACCACTTTCGCAGGTTATGCAGCCAGGATATTCTTCTCCGTCCTGGACCTCTTTTCCCATGCACTTTACCTTGAAGGATGGTCCGAAGTAGGTCATATCGTTGTTCATTGCGCATTATTTGGCCCAGATATTCTAGTTTGCGACGTTTTATGGTTACGACTAGTTCGCTCTCTTTACCCATTCTATGTAGTACTTCTTCGTTGGTAATTCTGTCTATCCAGGAAATCCTCAACATGCGTCTATAGCACCACATCTCAAATGCTTCGAGTCTCTTCAGTGATGCTTCAGTTAAGGTCCATGACTCTACGCCATATAAAAGAACTGAAAATACGTAGCATTTTAGTAAACGAACTTTTATTTCCAATTTTATGTCGTGGCTGTTAAAGATTTTTTTTCATTTTGACGAAAGCTGAACTTGCCTTCTCGATCCTTATCTTAATTTCCGTCGATTGGTCCCACTGTTCATTTAAGTTTGCACCCAGATAACAAAAGTTGGTGATTTGTGTTATAGGTTGTTGGTTAACTAGTAATTGGCCAGGTGGTATCCTATTTTTGCTTATAACCATGTATTTGGTTTTTTTGATGTTACAATCAAGCCCAAACCTGCTACTTACTTCTGCCACCCTGGAGACAAGTGTCTGCAGACCTTCAAGACTGTCTGCAAAAATGACAGTATCATCAGCGTATCTTATGTTGTTCAATCGTTCTCCGTTTATAAGTATTCCCTCGCCTATGTCCGTTAGCGCTAGGTTACAGCAACTTAGGCAGATATATCAAAAACAACATGAGCGAAAAGAAAAAGCACTTACACAGTTTTGTACATAAACTTAAATGTGGCGACTTTCCAAAAACTTACATCGGTCAAACTGATAGAACTTTTAAAAAACGGATAGCAAAGCTCAAAAGGGCTTTCAATAATAGAAAAACAGATTCTGGGTACGCACTTCACCTTCTAGACCAAAATCGTGAAATACATTTCCGAAAATAATAATGCTTTTTATTTACTTAATACCTACCATATCACTTTGTACCAGTATCCTTAAGGGGAAGTCAGTTTGTCTGTTTTGTCCGGGTAAACCTCCAAAAGCAGCACCTGGTCCTCTGGGATTACGTTTCCCCCGTTTTTCCACAGCCAATTCTACTTTTAACGATTTACCTTCTACTTCAACGCCATTTAACTGATTTACAGCTCTGAAAACAAATTAATATATTAATGAGAAACACATACTCTTATAGGTACATCATTAATGAACTTTGCTGTCTTTAAACCACTGGCACTGGAATGACTTTCCCCTAGCGCGTTGCATATTCTGAGATAAAAGAATATACTCTTATTTAAACATGGATGGAAAATGTTATCGCGATAACTGGATTATAGCGTGCCAAAATGCTAGGTGTTAAGCATGCTAATCGGAACAAACAACAACGATATTGGTATAAACAATTGTTGCTAGTTTACGGCTATTCAAATGTTGCACACAAAACCTTATCTTAAACCATCTTAAACCTTCTCCATTCCATTGAATCGTTTTTGTTTTCTACCCTCCTTTTTCTATTTTTTAAATTCCCCGAAGGCCATTAGTTCAACCACGATTTTGAGAGTACTGAAAGAGTAAATCAAGGAGAGTAAAATATGTGAAAACTGTGGGGTTTCATGGAAAAACTTTCGTAAAAATGTAATTTTCTTTTGTAAAAAATATCTTTTATAAAAAAAATTTCTCCGTTATGCCATTTTACGAATCGATAGAGGAGTATTGATCCAATCTTTAAAAATTTTAGCATTTGGAAAAATATTAATCATGATTGCAATTATGGTCCATGGAGTATAAATGACTAACATAAAAAGTGAGACTTGAACCAAAATCGAAACATTCCCACATCCCAAAGACGTCGACTCTCGCATTTATTTAGTGCTGTGGAAAAGAAAATAATTATGTAACTAATAACGAGTCACCAATTATTACCAGTAATTACGGTATTTTTCATTAATCCATTAGTGCCTAGAGTTACATATATGTAACGCAGGGCAAGATTTAATTTATCCATTGTAAATTTTTTTGTAGAACTACTAACGACAGATGGCGGCACTGTTAAAACGGCAGACATTACTGTTCACGCCCACACAAGTTTTGTTTAGTTTAGTTAACGTGGTTGGCGCTAGAAAAAAAAAATAAGGTGACAAATTTATACTACTCATTTTTACAAAATTGAACCTGTTATTCAATTCGAGTAGATACTGTTACGTAAAAATTAGTCATATTAAAAAAACTCAAATAAGAGCAATAAATTAGAATTAATAAAAATATAACAGTACATTAAATTTGTATTCAGAATAATTATTACTATAAGAATTTTTTTACATTTGGTTAGTAATTTAGTCATATATTCATGTAATTTAAAAAAAATCTCATACTTAAATATTTTGGGTAATTTATACTGATCAAAAGTTCAGTATTACATATATGTAACGCTAAGCTTTTATGTGGACGTAATTGCCCATTTATTTTAATTATTAATTTATTTATAAATAAACTCTGTAGTATTTATTTTTAAATTTTTTCAATCAATCTAAATCTTTACTTCTTTATAGGCGAAGATTTACTTTACAAGAGGCCCTTGACATGGCATTTTGTTGATGACAGAGGAAAATTTCATAGAATCTACAGAGGTAGACGAACTGACTGACGAGGATTCTGGTGATGAAGACTGTGGTACTATCGACAACTTGACGGGGTCTCAACTAAGTTCAGATGTAGAGGTTAGGCTAGTGAATACTGAAATGCTAACATCAGATGTACATGTAGTGGACCAAGAAACATTTCAAATTTGATTGCCTCAAAAAATTGATTTGAGAGAAAATATGGTCCCTTAATAGTAAATATGGATGTTTAGTAAATTTTGACCTTTACCAAGGGAAAGGACCATCTTCCAATGAGCAGTATGAACATTTATTTGGTAAAGCCGCAGCAACCAAACCAAGGAAAAAAAAAGAAAAAAGAGGGACTTGGGTACATCCTTTTTTTGCTAGTCATTTTATAAGTGGTGTATTTTTAACCTTGTACGATGATTTGTGAAGTATATAACCAATTTTTTTAACTATGTCAATTGCGTCATTCAACGAATTATTAAGTTTGTGCAATAATGATTTGTCCAAAGAAGGCACCATCCAACAAAAATCCAGAAGAAAGATTATTCGTCCCTTTAAAGTGAGTCTTTAAAGTTTAATTTTAGGGAAAAAAAACAACTACATAGACAAATATGTCTTTATTATCTGATTAAAAAATCAGAGGACTTTTCATATAGATAGGATGAAAATTTTAAAACAGATCCATACACTGAGAATGATCAGAAATGTTTGTATCACTGGGCTGTAAGACTGGTTGAGGATATTGAAGGTTTATAAGTAATAGCAGCCGACCGCTGAGTAGACATACGTACTATGTATTTGGTTTGTATGTGGATTCGTGTATTCAGTATGATAGCTTTCGCCATAACCATACATATAACTATTGAATATATCGCCTGGTATAAGCTTCTTGTAAAAGAGACATCAATCTAATTTTTGTAGCCTTTTTCTCTAACGGGGTACATCTGGTGTAGTACTTAGTTAGGACAACAAAAATAATGAGTCTTCGTCAGTGTCACTTTAAGCACGTCGGTCTCCATTGATCTATTTAACGCTGTAATGAATGGACCCTCGTCGCCAGTTGCTGCATCTCTAGTTATTTTCTTTCCTTTTTGTTTTTGGTAGCGACCTGCTATCGGATTTTTTCCGTTGTTTTCTACAGTACCATCCATTTCACCTGGTGTGTCTCTCACTACGACCACTCTTTGCAAGAACTGCGACGGCTTGAAGTAAATGTATACATTTTTTCGTTCACTCCAGGATCCAGATTTTATGAATTTCTGTCTCTCCACTTCTCGAGCGTAACATGACCTTATCCCTTTCCATATCTTCTGGAGTTGTAATCCTGAAATGAAAATTATTTACTTTTTCAGATACCTAGGAGGTGGATGTTCAGTTACGGAGCTGCATTACTATTTTCGACTTGGATATACAACAATCACAACATTGGCGATAGAAGTTTGTGCACCGGTATGCAAAAATTTAGCAACTTATTTGACATTGACAGCTAATGCAGAAGAATGGAAAGAATTAGCCTCAGGATTCGAAATACACTTCAACTTTAGTCATTGTATTGGCGCAATCGATGGAAAGCATAAGTAATTAATCCTAACGATTCGGGTTTATTGTATTACAACTACAAAAATGATTTTTGTCCTGTGTTGCTTACTGTATATTATGCAAGTTACAACTTTATTTATACCGATATAGGTGCATGCGGGAAAAGCAGTGACTCGACGTCGACAGTGATAAAGGACACTTCATTTTATAATGAACATTGTAAATAAAGCGTCGTTAAAAATCGTTGAATCTATCAAACGATCAGAAAATAAACCATATTCTTTCCCATAACTGTTTGTGAGTGATAAAGTACATAGGTCTTGAAAAACGCATTGTTAAGACTTGTTTTCTGTTGCATAAGTTCGTAAGTATTCGAGATGTATATTTATTTATAATATGATGACATCCTGAAAATTACAGGCTACGAAGATAACAAGTAAACAAGAATTTGAATCGAGGAGGATGATCAGCATAACATAAATTTCAAACAGATCAGCCAAATAGTTTATAAGCTACTCAATTTATTTATCCCGGACATCGATTAATTAAACAACTGTACTTGCTCAAACAATCACTCTAGAGGTATTTTATAAATCACAATAGATTCTTTGAGGCTTCATTTTTATGGTATATTAAAACAAGTTTATTATTAAAGTATTAAAGATTTAAAAAGGCTGATTTTTAGGTTATAAACATTTATAATAATTACTATTTAAATGGGAATAAGCCACAATTAAAAGTTGAAGTAAGTTTATTGACGTTATTATTAATAACTTTTATATTTTTTGTCACACTGTTGTAAGTGGGCTCAATGAAAAGCGTGAAAAAACACACTTTACCAAAAAACAAAAAAAAAATGGATCATAAAATTTAGACCTTCATTTAGAATTAGTATACTTTCAGCTCTTAATGGAAATATGATTTTAAAAAAGTAAATGTTATCTTGTTTCCTTTTGGTCACAGAAGATTCTGTTTTTTTTTCTGGAATGTATGTTTTTTCAGCAGCTTTTCATTGGGCCTATTTACAATCCTGTTACATAAAAAATGTCAATGTTATTTTATCTGGAAACTCAAAATTAAAGAACTTTTTATTATCTAACTATTTTTCTCTAGATGTATAAGAAACGTTTTAGAAGGCAAAAAATATTAAGATTGTTAAAAAAAAAGTAAAATCAGGGAGACGTTTCAAGGATTTTTCATCATCTACCCCTCATACCTTTTCTTCAAATATCTGTAGATTTAGATTTTGTAAGTGGAATCAATCATTTTTTCACATATAGATTGGTGTACCAGAAGAATGTACGAAAGCTACAAGGCTGGTGACGCCACCAAACTGGTCGACGAACCAAACCAAGTGATTAATTATATTAAGCTTATATATTCTTTGATATTGTTTCTAATGCTTACGTGTGTTCTGAATGATGTCGCTACTGGTTGTGGCTACCGTGGTGTTCTAATGGGAGCTAGGGTTGCCAGATGATTTTTTTAATTTCTTAGAATTTTTGCCAATATTTCCCTAGATTTCCCTAACAACTTGACAACCATATTTAGCCACAGAACAATAAACAATCAGAATGCCCACTCTGCTTGAAAAAATAAGTACGCGCATTTCGTTAGCGCAGACGAAATCAGCCATGTTTTAAACGGAACCAGTGCTGTTCATTGACTTTTATCTGGTGACTAGAAAAATTAACCCGGTTTAATTTATTTACGATAACTATAGACATAATATGCACTATTTTATTGGTACTTTTAGTTGAAGAATAGATTAAATTATTTCAAATGCACTAAATTATTATTCTCTAAAAATTTAAATTATAGTGGGCATTCTGATTGTTATTTATTTTGTGATCTAGCCTTTAATCCTAGAATGGACTACTTAAGTCTGACGTCAGAATCAGTAGGACTTTTAAAATCCTTTTCAAACATTTCTAATTTGTGTGTATTTGTCACATAAGGAGTTGGAAATATTGGTTTTTTTAATTGTTTGAAGAATAAATGTAATAATAAAAGGACTTTTGTTTATGAACGAACGTTCATTCTGTGTGATTGGCATTATTTGTTGTTTTGTGAATTTGTGAGGTAAGAATATCAAAGTATTCAGATATTTTAGCCCAGGGGGAGCCCCGTCCCCCGTCGTAATTCGCCGTTCGTGAAATACCACCACTCTAGTCACCGACGGAGAATCACATGAACAGAATTCAGTGATTCCCCGAATAATACGATTTCCAAGCAGATGATATAATAATATGTACATTTTTGAAAATTTATGAAATCAAATCCAGATTCTTTAAAAAGTCCTAAAATATTAATAATACCGGTTGAGTTTACCGAATGTATAAGCTGAATATAGCGGCAAATGTGGCAGTGTTGGAATGTTTTTATAATGTATATGTCGTATGCTTCAAATATAGAGAGTAAAAACTTTTACTAATACTAATGAAAACTAATGAATACTAATGTATCAAAGGGCAAAATTTCTAATAATTAACTGCAATTAATCTCCAAAGCAACAAATATTTACTCATTCTTGTTTTATATAAATCAAAAATTGCAGAATTCATATCATACTTAATATAATCAAAATGTACTTTTCTAAAGCTGTATTTCTGTATAGTTGAAGCATACAGCAACAGCATAAACATTAAAAAAACATGACAACACTGCTAAACCGAAATTTATGTTCCCTGTTTGACATCTGTGGCTATCATCAGCTTGTAGTAATGAGCCTAACGAGAATTTAGTAAGCAGAAAAGACATCAATAAACATTCTATAGTATACAGCTAAACATGTGAAGTTGACTATATTCATTCCACTTCTTTGTTGACTACTCAAAGGCCTTCGATAATGTAAAATGAGATAAAATGTCGCTACTCTTAGGGAAATGGGTATTCCAGAACATCTTATCTTTCGTATGACTACGTAAGTCCTAGGTTACCTAACGTGACTGGAAGTAAAACCGAAAGTCGATATTTGAATTCTTCGTGTGACTTTGTGTCGATTGATAAACAATTTCACGAATTTTGAGTAATTTTTGCCAAACTTCCGGCAATAAATTTGTAACCGGAAATGACATCAAAATCGGAACTAAATATTCGAGCTCGACTTTTCAATACGCGCCGATTAATATTTCACATCTACTATATCTGCGGTTGTAATGTGATACTTCCGATTGCAACTCTAGAACCGGAAGTCAGAGGTTAAATTTCTCACCTTTAATACCATCTTTGAATTATAAACTCTCATTCGACACCTCATTTGTCATTCTATATATTCTAATAATGGAAGAGTTGTGTTCACGGACAGACGGAGGACTGACAGACATGGATAATTCAAGATTTTCACCATAATGGGTGAAAACAAAATCTATGTAAATAATACAGCCAAAATTTTATGAAAAGGATTTTACACGAGGTTTATACTCTTCTAGATTATAAGGTAGATAAAATGTACTCGATAAAATTCGTCACCAAATTTCATTCATTTTGCGGTTGTAATCGTATTTATTGGACAATTTAATTTCTGGTCCGGTGTATCATGCTGGATTTATAAAAACGTAGTTTTGCACAGACACTTCCTAATTATTTTTTTGTTTGCATATGTTTAGTTGTTCTTCTATTGTTAATTCGCAATTTATTGCTTCTTCCATTTTTGTGTGCTTTCTTTGGCTATTTTATCTTCAGTTCATTGTTTATTATCCCTGCGTGTGCTTTGATAAAGACACATTTTTTAGGCGTTTGTTTTTTGATAGTAAGGCTATTGATATCCAAGCGGTCGAAGCACCTCACTTCACTGTAAGTGGTCAAGTGGGTAGTGTCCAATCAAACTTCTTTAAGTCAAATTAGAAGACTTCTTTCTTTTTCTTCTTTTCATGTAGACATGGCTCTGTCTGTTTGTCAATGTGCTTCCAGTAAGTTGTCGTTCCATGGTTTCTCGCCATCTACAGTGCTTGATGTTCTCCACCTTGCATCAACGTCGTATATCTATACTGCCAGATCTGTCCCATAGTGTCTTACCATCAATTTTTCTAAGAGTTTTCATCTTTGCTGTTTCTAAAATTCTTTTTGTCCACTCTGTATCAGTGTCGCATTTCTGCCAAGTATGTCATTATTGGTCTAGTGACTATTCTGTGAATTCTCCGTTTCATTTCTTTTCCAATATTTTTATTTCTCTATATTGTCATTTAGGCAACTTGCGACTCTGTTTGCTCTGTTCTCTTGATCTTCCACTTCTGTTTCGTGCTTTCCGTAACTATATAGTGTGATGTCTAATATTTAAACTCCATCACTTTTTCTATTATCTGTTCTTCCAGCGCCAAACTTACATCTAAGGAAATTAACATGTTAAACTTTAACCCGTAGAAAGAGTGACGCATTGCAACTACCTCGGCACCATACTAAATGAAGAATGGATCAACAACCAGGAGATTAGAGCACTCATCGGAAAAGCTAGATCAACCTTCCATCGGATGGGGGCCTTCTTCAAGAGTCACAACCTCTATCTTGATACAAAAGTAAGAATACTGCGATGCTACGTCTTCTCTGTCCCTTTTTATGGTTTTGAATCGTGGACATGAACGAAGATATGTGCAGAAAACTGGAAGCATTTGAGATGTGGCTATATCGGAAAATACTTAAGATCCCGTAGAGTGATAGTAGAACAAAAATTAGATTATCTGGAAAATTTATTTTCCAGCAAAGGCAAAAGGGAAAGGTGATAATTATTACATGATAAATGATGTATTCTCAATATATTATTGAGATTAATTTTTTGACTTCTCAATTTTAAACACACATTTTCCGTTTAGCCCCTAAGCCAGGGTAAGAGTTTTTTACTGTTTGCCAGGTTCTCAGGCAGATTTTTGCAATCATGCAATGAGCAAGAGGCATTAACTTACTTGAGAGTTTTCAAAGTGAAGCGGATCAATATATGCACAGATAGCCAAGCAGCTATTGGGGCTCTCATATGTTCTAAGGTGGACTCTAGACTACAGTGGCTGTGGGAATGTCGACACGCACTTAACGGACTAGCGGAACGTAACAGTGTGATACTGGTATGGGTTCCAGGTCATCGGGGCACATATGGCAATTAAAGATCTGAGGCACTTTCCAGAAAAGTGTCAACAAAAGCCAGCCGTGGGAGTGCCAAAAATCAACGTCCGCGACTGAAAAAAGCCTGGATCCGAAGCCAGCACAACTCACTGGGAAATATATACCCGGTCAAACATCTATGTGTCCCTCTTTAATCAAAAATGGACCTGTCGCTGGATTTTTCTAAAGTGTTCTTGTAGTTGTGAGTGTTCGAAAATTTTTTGTTTTCCTCAACAGTTTTCCTTTTTATAAGAAAATTTGGACCTAATTCATCGTTATAAATATACATTTGTGGTACAAAAATAAGTAATAAAACTTACATTTGAGCCTGCTCGGGGGTGTCGTACGTGACGGCGACGGTCTGTGTGTTCTGATCTTTCGATGTCAACTTGTCACACGATACAACACGTCCATGCTCGTTGAGGAGGTGTTCGATGTCCTCGAACCTTATATGTAGACCCAAATTTGATATTATGATTTTTGAGGTTTGGCTGCAACAAAAAGAAAACATTAAAATATAGATCTTAAATGTTTTTTTTATCTAAAAACACGTTCAAGTTATAAGAAAAATAAAATATTAGTCAAACTACACAACAAATATTTTTGTGTAGATCCCAAATTTACAAATAATTTTTGTTAAATTAAAAATATAATAGGAAATTGTCATAGGACAACTTTTTGCATGTTACATGTAAAATAATTATTCAATTTACTTATTGTAATATTATTACAGATGTGATGATAGATGAAAGTAAATGGGAAGTTTATATAAAAAAAGTAAAAATACATAAAACATTTAATTTATATTAAGTTGAAGAGTGCATCAATGGCAACATGTGGCGAAGTGCTATCTATCGTGCCACATTTTATCCATTTTAGGATATATTAGATTGAACATTTATACTTCCACTAGTTTTGATTCTAGTGGGTTCTTATCCATCGCCAATAAAATAAAAATAAAAGTATAAAATACCTCACCAGGTATTTTATATGACTCAACCTTGTAGTCAGCGGTAAAATTCTGATTGAGAGTCATAGCATCGACCAAGTAATAGCTTACAAATATCTAGGCTATGAGATTCGCTTAGGCCGAGATAATAGACAACTGAAATACAAAGAAGGATAGGTCTCATACGGGGTGCCTTTGGTAGATTGAAGAACATTTTCAAGTCTAGTATCCCCGTTTGTCTAAAAAGAAAGGTTTTTAATCAGTGCGTTTTACCGGTTCTTACATATGGTGCAGAAACACTGACTCTGACAAAAAGAACAATAGATAAAATAAGAGTTACACAACGCGCTACGGAAAGATCAATATTATGTATTACCATCAGAGATAAAGTACCAAACCTAGAAATAAGAAGAAGAACAGGAGTCACAGATGCAGTTGAAAAAATAGCCATGGCTAAATGGGCTTGGGCCGGACATGTTGCCAGATTAACGGATGATAGATGGACCAGAAATATTCTGGAATGGCGACCAAGGCAAGATGCATATCGAAGCAGAGGACGACCACCGACTAGATGGACGGATAATATCAAGCGCATCACCACAAACTGGATGCAAGAAGCTCAAAATAGAAATAGGTGGAAAATTTTACGAGAGGCATACGTTCAGCAGTGGATAAATATAGGCTAATTGATGATGATCATGCACCGACGCTATATTTATAATGAGGCAAATGCAAGAGAAATCATTAGGATATAACAAACGGTAGACCGTGTCAAATTAAGGTAAAGTTATTCACTTATTGTATCGAAAATATCTACCAAAACAACACAATAAAAGTAAAAGTAAAAGAAGAACCAACCGACTCTATTGAAGCTGACAATGGGATAAGCAGAGAGATTTCATGAATTCTCTATTGTTTAAAATGATTATGGATGAAATGATAAAAAAAGTAAGAACAAAAAAAGGATACCAAATGGGAGAAAAACAGCTTAAAATAATCTGCTATGCAGACGACGCAATACTACTCTCTCAAAGTGAAGACGATTTACAACGTATGCTGCACCAATTTAATATAGCCGCAAGAAAATTTAACATGTTAATTTCCCCAAAAAAAGACAAAATGCATGGTTACAGCAAATTTACTAAGATGTAAATTGGAGCTAAAAGGTCAGATAATAGAACCAGTGATGGAGTTTAAATATCTAGGCATCACATTACCTAGCTATGGAAAGCACGAAACTGAAGTGGAAGATCAAGTCAATAGAGCAAACAAAGCCGCAGGCTACCTGAATGAAACAATCCTGATATTATGAAAAAAATATCGGGAAAGAAATGAAAGGCAGAATGTACAAAATTGAGATCAATAATGACATGCGCGGGAGAAACACGACCTGGCACAGAGAGGACAAAAAGGATGTTAGAAACAGCAGAGATGCAAACACTTTAAAAGGCATTAATACAGTATATCCACTTATATTTGGAGACACTTTTTCAAGATCAAGAAGCTAAACTTTTAAAACTCGTTGGAGGAAGAAGGAATAAATTGGATCACGGCTGTCTTCAATAAAATATACAATACAGGAATCATCCCTGAGAAATGGCTAGAATCAGAATTCATAGCGATACCTAAAATACAGGGGGATAAAAAGTGCGAAGAATATCGAACAATCAGCCTAATGAGCCACATGATGAAACTGTTTGTTAGAGTCATCTATGGAAGAATTTATAAGAAGTGCGAAGAATAAATATCGGACAGACAGTTCGGCTTCATTAACGCAGTGGGTACCAGAGAGACACTTTTCGGAGTACAGTTACTGATTCAAAAATGTAGGGACGTTAACTGCGACGTATACGCGTGCTTGATCGACTATGAAAAGGCATTTGACAGAGTTCAACATCAAAAGATGATAAACATTTTAAAAGAGGCAGACCTGGATGACAAAGACCTCAGAATAATTTCAGAACTCTGGAATCAAACCGCATACATGAAAATTAACGGAGAAGAAACAGATCACATAAAAATACTACGTGGAGTTAGACAGGGATGTATCCTATCGCCGTTGATATTTAATATGTACTCGGAGAAAATTTTTAACGAGGCTCTTTACGAAATAGACGAAGGCATTCTTCTAAATGGTGAAAGAGTAAACAATTTTAGATATGCCGACGACACCATGGTGATAGCAGATAGTTTAGAGGGACTTCAGAGGCTAATGGACAGAATAAACGAGTACAGTCAACAGTACGGACTAAACATTAATACCCACAAAACGAAACAAATAATTATCAGCAAGGAGAATATAAACGGGGCTCATCTATACATTAATGGGACGTAGTTAGAGCGAGTAAAACAGTATTGCTACCTGGGAACTATTATAAACAAACAGTAGAGCAATGTACAGAAAATAAAGTGCCGCATAGGAAAGGCAAGAACGGTCTTTAACAAAATGAGCGCCATCTTCAAAAGTCACAACATATCCCTTGATACAAAAATGAAACATTTGAGATGCTATGTTTTCTCTGTGTTGTTGTACGGGGCGGATCAAGGACGCTTACAGACACCACTATTAAAAAACTTGAAGCATTTGAGATGTGGCTTTATAGAAGAATGCTGAGAATATCATGGACAGCAAGGATCACGAACAAGGAAGTTCTAGGAAAAATGAAGAAGGAACCAGAGATTTTGTTTACGATCAAACGCATAAAATTGCAATATCTGGGACACGTTATGAGAAATCAGCACCATTACTCCCTGCTACAGTCTATATTGCAAGGTAAAGTCAAAAGTAAGCGAGGACCCGGTAGAAGGAGAATATCATGGCTGCGGAATTTAAGAGCATGGTTTAAGAAAACCTCAACGGAGCTGTTTCGAGCCGCAGCGAGCAAGGTTATGATTGCTAATATGATTTCCAACATCCGAAACGGATAGGAACCAGAAGAAGTAGAAGAATACAGTGTCTGGATGATGATAATATTATTTTGAATACAATACATGAGAATATCTATGTTTGGTAGAACTGTCTATTTCTCTAACACTGCCAGGATAATAAATATAACAATATAATGATCTTAAAGACGAGATTGTTAATATTTCATTAATTTCATACATCTGATGATTTTTACGCCACACTAGTCCACGCACGCAAGTCAGAATACATAATGTATAAAATATTTGCTGTTCCCTATAAAATGTACAATCCTTAAAAACAGTAGAATTTAGAAACAAGTATTTTATAGAAATAACGTAAACAAATTACACTGAGACTACTTTCTCAAAAGTATGAAAGTATCATAGTAATTTGTGTTTTCTTTTGTGTTGTCTAACATATTTAAGAAGAACTATTGACAATAAATTGTTGAAATCTTTATCGGTAAACGTTGATAAATATAAATTTTGTATCAAATATTATATAGAGAGCTTAGCTTCAAAATAAACAAAAGATATGGATCCTATCAAAGCATTGTCGCCATAACGTGAATGGTTATCAGTTGTAAAACTGTCGATAGATACCATCATATTTACCAGGTGACATTTTTTATTTGCTTGGTGATTTTGTTGTAACTTTTGAATTAATAAATTAAATGAAGCCATAGGGTTAGACCAACAAGTGAAAATCCTTAAGACTATGGCAGACAACAGAAAGAATCGTCAAAAATTTGCGGCAGTGTAAAAAAGAATAATTTCATTGATTATATAGCAATAACGGTAATATAAACAATGTAAACTGAAGGATGTAAACAGAAGGACAAAACAGCAATATAATTAAAATTAGACGAAAATTTTAACATTGTCGAAGTTGATATGATTAAATGTTATTAGTCGCTGATTTGAGTTGATAGAGATATTATTTTAACAAAATATTAATTAAATGCACACTAAAGGTTCTAAGAAGATTCCCAAGGTTTAGATTAGTGGAATAAAAAGAAAAGAAAAATTATAAATATTTGCGAAGAAAAAACTTGTAAAAAAAACTTTATATTGTTAATTTTGCTTAAATTTATTACATATTTAACAATATAAAATTTTAATATATAAATAATATAAGCAAAGTGTTTCTGTAAAAACGGCAAGTTTTCATTGGAATAATTTATACTAATTTAACTTACACATTCAGTGGATATAAAATACGAAAATTCCTGACTTTGATCTATTAAAACTTTTCATATGTACGTTAACTACACCAATACGTAAAAATAGAATTACTTAGTGAAGAAAAGATTGAGAATATAATAAAGGGTTTCAAAAATATCAAAATGCCAAGAAAAATCGAAACAGCTGCAGAAATGGTAAAAAAATAGCGAGGAAGAGCTTCGAAAAATGTGTATAAAGTTATCAAGTGGATTTAGTGAGAAAATTAAGCCCAAAGACTAGACTAAGGATTTATTATGCTCTATGTATATAAAAAAAGTGGATACCTTTTGGGTGCATTGTCATGTGAAAACTACAAAGGTATTGCTCTGTTGGATACCTGCTATGAGATATTGCCCAGGGTGCTAAAAGAGAGACCAAACAAATTTGCGGATAAACTAGGCAAATACCAAG